GAGTAGGAGTTGTGAAGTAATGTGATGTGTAAAACAGACCCAAACACCCCATTTTATAGTAGAAAAATAGGCTCCAACGGACCAAAGTATTTAAGGGGTGATTGGCACAATTTGTGGGATTTGATGAAAATTGGATCTGTTGAAATTCACCCAGACAGCGCTGTCCTAGGCTTGGACATCGCTGTTCTAGGCTTGCGTTTTGAAAAATGGGAAGCAACGGTCATGCCAACAGCGATGTCTAAAATCCCTACATCGCTGTTTTGGCTGTTGACTTCCAAACAAGGAATGTTTTAGCCTTAAATTCCTTCCAACGGTCAGGTCTCTACATCGATGTTCCATACTAGAACATCGCTGTTTAGGTCTGCCTTTGAAGATGGAAGTTTGGCCTGACAGCGTTGTTTCTGGGTCAACATCGCTGTCCAAAAACTTTCTGCCAATGCACAATATCTTTGGCTTAGGTTGGACAGCGCTGTAGGGAAGCCTACATCGCTGTTCCAGAAGTTTCTGGAAATCCAACTTTGGCTCAACAGCGATGTCTAACATCCAACATCGCTGTTGGAAGACTTAACGCCAAACTATGGTTTTCAGCTACCCAATCCAGGCAGCGTTGTTGGTTACACCAACATCGCTGTTGGGCTGGTTTAGCCAGACCCATGATTGGTTTAGTCAGCCGTTAGCCGATGTCAAAAATGTAAGTTCTCCAAAATAAAAACCAAGTATTGAAAATTTTTGTTTAATGCATTTTGCTAAGAAATCAAGTAAAACATTTTGAAAACCACGTCATTTAGTTGAAAACCACGGCTAGCCAAGTTTACTCCGTTTCGCATGGTTTTCACTAAACGACCAAAAACGAAAGGTGGTTTTTGAAGCGTTTTTGTTGGAGAACTATTTAAATATGCCAGAAGTAAAAAATAATCATTAAAAGTTGAAAACCACTTGGTTGGTTCGAACGCCAAAAACCAACGCCGATAACCGAAAGCCGAACGCCGGTTTCCAAAGACCGAACGCCGGATGGCTTGGTTTTTGGTTTGGGCGAACTCCAAGTGTTTTCAGGCAGGTTTAAGACTTAAGAAAATCATTTTGAATATGCAAAAAATATTTTGATGAAATGAGCCTAGAGAGCCATGTTTTGAAGGTTTGTGCCGGTCTTGATCACATTAAAACCGACTCAATACAATTCTAAGTCTTCGTTCTTGATTCTTGGTTCTTGGTTCTCAGTTCATCATGCCATGTTCCTT